TGCTATCTATCTACTCCATTCCTGGAGTCATGGTCTGGTGATATGATGGTCATCCTGTCGCGAGGTGTGTGTGCTTGTGTGTGCCATGGCCATATGGCCATGCGTGGCACAGTAAAACTTTAGATCATGATCACCTACGTATACGTAGGTGATGCATCACCTGGGACAGCCCCTACCTATTATACGAGAGTGTCGCTTATATATAGGTGATCGAAAGGTTTACTGTGTGGCACAACAAGCACAATATACACACTGTACTATACACACTGTGACACAATATTGTCTATATACTGTGTGTGTATGCTTGTATGTGTGTGCTGGTGTGTGTGTGTGTGTGTATGTGTGTGTATTACCCTTGATATGATATCATGCATGACACTCCATCGATGAAGAGAAGATGATTAATACGATTATTAGTGAGTGTGGTTCGTAATTCTTCTTACATGCACCAGATAGACCGCTAGTTTGATTATTAAGCATCGATGCTACTGATATCAGTAGCTTTTATTAGCGAACATATATGTATATACGTCTGTATATTACACGTAAATGATATATAATATTATTTTATTCAGCTAATGAAAGTCATGACTATATACGCGCTAGCGAGACACCATCATGTACACAGCTACGTAGCACATGAGCAACCAATCATATACAGCATATGGAGGTCCTCATCATGTGCTGGTGGTGTATGCCAACCTTATTAGTGAGGTTCTGTGCCATGATTTCTTAGATCATACATGATCATGATGAGGCACCTGCCTGCTGCAAGCGCTTGCAGCACGCAACCAGTCATGCACTAAAATTCATGCTTGCATGCAGCCACGCGTGGCTGCACACACATGTGTCCATATGTATGTCCATAATAAACTTTGGAATTGCTTTCTCGCTCATATGAGCGATCATGCATGATCGGGCTTCAGGATGCAGTTGCCTGCCGCTGGATCGTAATAAGTGTGTAGTGGATAGCTATAAATATATAATATGTATGTAACATGTATATGTAATATGTATAGGATATGTATGTATGTATAAGGGATTTAATGTAG